GTGTGGCTGTTGGTTGTTTTACATGCCCTGTACTTTTTGTGTAGTTTTTGTGTTTCCCTTCCCTTCCTTGGGTTTGTGCGCCGCCCTGAGTCCCACTGAGAATAGGGCGGCATATAAATAAAATGAAACTTGAAACTCGAAACCCCTGTCCTTTGGAAGGTCTAGATAAGTGGACCCAAATCCCAAACCCAGCCTAAACATCTGACTGACTCAGCAACCAAACAGAATAATAATGTCTCCCAGCAAAAGTCCCACTTTAGGCATGATATCAGCTGGATGATCTTGGGCCATTCATTATCTCTCAGCCCTAAGAAGAAGCAGGGGATGGCAAATTAGTTCAGAATTTTGCAAAGAAAACGGCAGGGGTTGCCCAGGAAATTACCAGGAGTCAAGATTAATTCAAAGGCAGAAAAAAGCCCCCAAGATGAAACAAAAAATGGGGGGGGGGAGAAATCCCAAGAGGGGAGAAGGTTTTACTCTCTGTCTTGTCTCTTCTACTTCTGTCCTTTCCTGCTGATAGGGGATAAATCTCAGGCATCTGATTGGGTATTTTGCTTCTATACAGTTAGGGAGCCTGATTGATGGGTTACAACTTTACTTTGTACCTTTCTTGTTAGTACAGAAATATTTGGCTGGAATGGTCCATTGTAAAGATTTATTAAATCTGAAACAGGATTGCAGTGGCAAAAATCAGCGAACTTCATACTCTAGTTAATAACACGTAAAAGAAGGGTTAAAACTGCATTTTGTCAGCCTCTCAGTCAACTGAGCATTTTTATTGAGTGTGGCACAAAGAGCAATAGCTTCGGATCAATAGACCAAATTGTTTGTGTCCTAAGAAATAAAGATTGACTCCTGCAGATTCTCTGGCCTTCTCATTTCCTCTTTCCAGGCTGTTATGGCACAGAAGAGGCTTTTCAGTAGATTCTACTCCCTCAGGAAAATGAATCCGAGCTGAGAATACATCCTGCACAAACAGACATAAAAGACATTTTGTCTTGGCAAGACAACAGACTTTAAATTAGTGAAAGGATGCCACTTCAAACAAACAGACCAATGGGTATTATCAAGAAGGGAATGTCAGTAGATTTAATATATGTAAAGGAGAGCAGCTACAAAGCTTTAAATACTTATGAGACATGTTTATAGCTTTTGCTGCCACAGCAGAAACATGTCCAATTTTCCTGTAGTTCTCTTTAAAATACTACAGGTCAATTGTTGGAGTAACATTTCCTAAAAGGTGGGCTATTGTGCCTGAAATCTAGATAGAGAGGTTGCAATTGCATACTTTTTATATATACATGCACATTATATGTGCATGCATTCATACAGAACATATGATGGGCATGTGTGTGTTTGAGGTATGAAGATGTGCTCAGAGGAAAGACTCAATCCTTTCTGGACCAAGTCAAAGAGGATTTTAGAGCTGAGCCCATGATTTTCTCAGCTGTGTAAGACTGAATGATATTTGGCATCATTAGGTCCATGATTCAGCTTAGCTCATGGGTGCCGTTTCTTTCACCACTTTGCACAATGCATGGCACTATTTTCCAATACATTTGTGGGTTCTCACTGTAATAATAGATGTGGTTAAAGGCATACAGGCAACTGTCAATGGATTTAATCCAAATGAACATGGGTGCAACAGAAAAATCCAGACAAATATTATGTTTAAGACTGTAGAGAGCTCCCCCCCCCCCTCCAAATTATATATCCATTAAAAATAACTAAGAGCCCAGCCCCAGTTAGACATTAAAAGGGATTCATGACCGTTGGATCAACATCTGCCCAGATCTAGAAACAGCCTTGGTAAGCTGTTGTAAATGCTTTGTAATAGAACTGGATAATATTTTCTCCTATTTGGATCAATGTGGAGTGTGGGGGTGGGAAAATATTAAATGTTAAAAGACGTTTAAAAAAATAAAGGTACTCTGTCCATCTTTTTCAGAAGATAGTGCCAGAAAAAGGGACAACAGAAATATAACTTGACCTTTGCAAACATTTTGCATAAAATCTCGTTATGTGTCTTCACCTGGAGCTTTGTTATTCTGATATAATATATATGGTCCTTTGTCTGACTAACAGAAGGAAAGGAGAATATTTGGAGACTGGCATAGTGTCAGCCCTATATCTGCTAGAACCTTTAAATAAGAACCTTTTTATTTAATAAGGTTTCCTGCCTGAGCAGGGGGTTGGACTAGAAGACCTCCAAGGTCCCCTCCAACTCTGTTATTCTATTCTATTCT